CAAAAGTACCGTCTCTATTTACCAAACATAGCAAGATTAATAAGCGGAAGATGAATCAAAGAAAACAGAAGATTCATAAATTATAGACATTTACCAAAAAATAACGACAGTGACCGAAACCAATGAAAATGGTTTGGGGAGATTTCAACCATTTTCACAAATTTTGGGGAACGTTCACATGACCGTAGCGATTACTTTACCTAAAGATCCTCTCGAAAGATCTCTTGATCTTAGAACAAGACTACAATCACGGCATCCATGCCCCCTTAGCCGTGGAAAATAACTGGCTTGAGAGATAATGTCTCCCATTTTGTTGGAACATATCGAAACCAATCATCCTTTGACGAGAAATTGTCTGGTGAACTCTTGCTCGCTTTGGAAACGTTAACTGACCTGTCTGTGTCTCAATCCAAGAATTAACATCTCTACTGCTAACAACTGCATTATCCTCCCCCGTGGCATTTACAATACATAATCCCTTTTTCCCTCCAATGTTCTGTTAAAATGAGACCACTGACAGGTGGTAACTGCGTGCCGTAGATGTAAAGGGTTTGGAATCGAGGCCTATCTGGATGCAGTGGGTAAAAAGCATGCTCTTTTGACGTTGATTAAATTAGATATTTGTACAGGTAGTAAATAATTTTTGCAATATTGAATGTTTCAAAAGTGGACCTAATTCATATGTCATTTAACTATTTTCAAAATGGACGGTTTAATCTTACATCATATCCACATGTGGTTGACATATTGGATGTTGGTAATTGAATGAAAAAATAATGAACAGGGGTGAGTCTGGTTATCTCAAAGTGACAGTTACAATTGTAATGACAGTAACGCGTGAAGTCATACGCTCGCGATGAAAACAGTTGCAACGACAATTTTAACGTTAAATCATTATTATACGCATATCTATCTGATCGAAGCAAATGTGAAACCAGAACATGATATTAAAATACAAATTCTACGAAATTTTTCAGGCTAGCTTTAAACTCTTTCAATCGAAAATATTTGACACAATCGAGTATTTATGAGAAAACTGATCTCGAGTTTTAGGACCTCGCTTATCTGGCACCAGTAGCTGTTCTTTCGACGAAATCAATAGTACGTGAGCCACGAAAGGTTTAAATTCAAGAAGTGCCAACTGCACGATACTCAGTACGATATGCGGTAAAGGGGGACCCCCCTAATGTGGCGCACAAGCTGTATACCCTAAGGCTACTGTGCCTCTACTGCACCCCCTCGGAAATCTGCAAGGGATTTCAAAGATTCCATCAACACAAAAGAAGACACAATGGAGGGGTCCCCTTTTGCCGCATATCTTGCATCATAAAGAGCACGTCGTACTTACGTCAGAACAGCTAAGACAGCATGTGCAGACATGAAATTCTTGTGCAGCAAGCATCATTCTGTTCTTTGTTGCAACGACTGAAGTTCTTAAAAGGTTTGCGTTCATGAAGTCACCAACGTTTAATGATGTTGGCTGTAGTGCCTCTAAAAGTCGATGTAAGTTCAAGAGTCCAATATTTGAAGATGAAGGATATGACGATGGAAGGCTCAACCATAGCCTAGCGTCAAGAGCCTAGAGATGTACATGGTGCTCGTGGAAAAAACATTCAAGCTCGTTTGCGAATTAAAAAGAACGCAGCTTGAAGCCTTCCTTTTTAAAAGAATTTTCTGCAGGTTTTTTTTATTTCGCTTGATAATTCTTTAAATAATTATTTGGCGTCAAAGAAATATTTTACGCAGGTTTTTGATGCCTTGTAAAGTGCTCATTTGGCACCAACACAAACATTATACGAAAAAGCCCTGAAAATGTCTGTCATCGTTTTTTTTAATATCTGAAAATGGTCACAAATGTGACTCCTGTTCGGTTTCGTTGTGTTCCCAGGAAATGCACGACAATTGATCATTATTCAGGTAAATGTTTTATGTATAAGAAATCATACTGAGGGATCCATACATGGATATTTCGGACTCAGACAGAAAATCGTCGAATATCTGGAGTGGTGGTCTTGACTACCTCAAGGCATGTCTCTGGGAACTGCAACCAGTAACTGTAGGACGAATTTGTTGTCGGGGAGATACTGATATGAATATTTGATTTGTCGGGATTCAAACAGGTCTACTCGAACTACAGAGCTCCGCATTCGTGATGCATTAATATGCACTATGGAAGCATGAAGCCGTAAAGTGCGAAATGTTTCCATTAAACCAGCTCTCGTGAAGCACTGGTGAACTGCCAGAAAACTAATTCTTCCAATTTGAATTCATCCGACAAAAATTTGTATGAACTAGAATTCGCTTCGCACGCGATGGTACTAGACGTCGCGACGGTATGTCAGTAAATAGAGCCAATGCTCCCATTGACTTGATAAACCATTAGTTTGTAGCACCACTCGTTTCTTTTCCAAGTTGACAAAATTTTTCAAAAATAATTGTCCGTTATATACAAATGCTCACAACAAAACACCTCAAGTGCTGATGATTTCCTAGCTTTCAGCCCACGCATCAGCCAGCCTGCCAGGCGAGAGGCAGTTCAATTTGTACCTGCACAATAACAATTAATCACTTGAGGCGGTGAAGATTTTTTAAACACGTAGAGGAAGGACACAGGAGTTTGAATTGCCCGAGGCTACAACGTATTGCCAATTACCGCTTTCTGGCATGCCCATTATGTCCATAGCCAGAGCGCAGCGAACGCTTGCTACGCACCATCTGTACCAAAACCCCGAAACCCCTTCGAACACTATGATCGCCGCCGCAATTTTTCGTTGGTTATCTGCATCCTTAACACTTTGTGTACTAAGGTATAGGATATTGAATATTCATGCATTTGTTGGTGCTTGGTATGATCTCATAACAACATCGAATTTAATACTTGCGCAGTTGCTTATATTACGCTGTGTGACCTAAATGCACTACAGGTGCAGTCATTGCCCGTAAAGATCGCTTCTTCTGGAGTTATTTTGGGAATAAATACCCCTGCTGTTTACAAGATTTTATATTTGTTTGAAACATTTTTATTACTACATTTGAACAAAAGTTTATTTTACGAAATTCCATGACACCTTCCTATAATGAAATAGCGCATTTTGTTCCTTACGTACTTAGCTTTCCAGTAGTGGTGAACATTTTGTTGGCCAGTCTTAGCCAAATTCATACGAAGTCTTTGGAAACTGATGTATTCGAGGGAGAAAAATAAAAGTACAAACTTCTTATGGATAACGGAAGAGCTGTATCAAAAAAAAAAGCTTATTCAGAGGGGCAAAAATAGGTCTAATATCGGGGACTTTTCTCTCTCTGTTTCCTGATTACAGCAAAAATATGTCTTTAATTGCAAGCAAAATACTACAAGTATTGCTGAGATATACTACTGGCTCCGCTTGTCACGCTAAGATACAGGCAGTAATCGGGCATTTTGGAATGTTTTCTATTATTCGTCTCACTTGGGGGCAACGATCATTGAACACTTTGAAGTGTGCCAGAGTTGCAACTCCCGTGCCCTTCCTCTATGGCATACCCTCTGGTGTAACTACATGTAGGTTCTGTAGAAATCCCAAATTAACTCAAGCCCCCGCTTCTCCTTCAGAAAAGAACTGCAAAGTTTTCTGGGAGGCAATTAAAAGATCAGTTCTGTGTACTGTTCCGTCCAAAAATGCAAGCCAAGCTTGTTGCATGCAGCGCGGGTTTTCTATATTTTTCAGATTAAACGAAATTCTAACATTAACATTTCTTGAGGTAGTTTAAATCAGAAAAAGTTCTTGAAAAACACAGAACACGATTGAGCAAATCAAATTAAACCCCTGTAAGCGGGGCGTGAGAGGGATCCAGAGTGCGCTGCATGACCTTTTCCCTTCAGGCTCTCTACTTGCATTGTGTCTAAAAAGGTAGCGTGGAACCTGCCTCTTGTTAGGTGCATCACCAACACGCAGAATAATATGTGCCAAATCCCAGGGCTAGATTAAAAAACTTTATGAAGCGATTCATTGAAGTCCATGACTGAGAGCACGAACTGCCAGCTACACCACTTGTAAGATCGAATTGAAATTCGCACATGCTACTTTGTGGGTTGTCTGAACGAGTACAAAGTTTAATTAAAAGTAGGGACAGCCGATAACGTTGGGAGGCAGAAGTCACCCTCACCTTGGTGAGAGGCCATAAAACCAGCCCTAAGCGCTACTGTTCCGTCAGCCGAACTCCGCCCAAGGTATTAGCATCAGTTTGACATCACTGGCATGAGTGCTGACGCTTCGCCTTTCACAATGCTACTGTAGTCTGAAATCGAAAATTCAAAGAGAGACGCAAAAGCTTTTGAACCCCAAAACCTGTTGTTTTTTTCGCAGGCCCTCAATATTTTGTTGAAGTCTCCTGCCCCTGAATGGAAGCACTTGGCACATCCACTGTGCTTACAGCCCGGCCTGTCATGGTTAGATGTGTCGATGCCAAATTTCTTTTTACTTATTTATTTATTTACTTTACTCCTGTAGTGCCTACATTAAGGACAAATTTCAAAACTCGCGGTTTGCAACAGTTAAAATCACGCAATGACCAGGGTTAGAAAGTGTTCTCTTTTGTGGCTCTGGGATGGGGGAAACCCCGTGAAAAAGATTCTGGGGAAAACCAACTGGGGCAGGTTGGGACTGAGAACCCAATCCACTTGCTGACCTGGAAGGGTTGTAACCTGGGTCAAAGAGGTGGAAGGCGAGTTAACCACCATTACACCAACCTAAAAATGCAACCGTCATTTTGCAACCACCAGCAACCAACACCTAATACACATGATGTGAAATTAATCACAAAATAAGTTAAGAATGGATATATCAGACTCATATTCGTAAAACTGTTCAAAATACCTGCAAATTATTGAGTCAACCCTTGTGACCCACGTATACACCTGGGGTGGGCGGAGTTTCTACCAAAATGGCTGTGTCCATGACAACGTCTGACGAAAGGCAGTTTTCACTGGACTGCCGAATGCTACAAAAAGGTCAACATGAAGGACGCTTCCTCACTTTCCAACACTGAGCTACACTGAAGCAATAAATCAGTGAAACAATGAATCGATTCCTCATCGCTTGCGTGTTTCTCGTAGCTGCCACCGCTGCAGAGGAAGCCTTGCACAGATCAGGCTGTCCCAGCGGCTACACCTACCGTCGTCACAGAGGCCACTGTTACAAGGTATTCCGGACACCTCAGTGGTGGCAGTACGCCGAGTACTTTTGCAGGGCGGATGGAGCCTGGCTGGTGACCATCAGAAATCGAGCAGACAGTGTATGGGTCAACAACTTCTTCAAAAGAAACAAGCACAACTGTCCATCGTCGTACTGGATTGGGTGAGTTATGTATCTGTCCACGCCCATTAGTTCCGACTGATCCGTTATATCAGACAGCAAAGTTGATTATTTTGTCCAATCCGTTATGACGGACAGATGATTGTGTCCGGCCCATTGTGTTCGACGGCCGTTTTAAGAATGTTAAATTTTTAATTTGTAAAGCGGTAGTTGTGTCGCAATTTTTTTCAGTCATGCGACAAATTCCTCCGACGGCCGTTACAGATTCTTTTTGGAGGTAATTTTTTTACAGATACATAATTTGGTATATCTAATTAATCAATGAGTAGTCCTCTATGAAGACGTAACAAAATGACGCTGATTGACAGGTGGGAGGACCGTCATTTCCGTGTAAAAACACGCCCCTCTTGCTCCTGCTGCGCGGGGACACTCGCCCAGAGACCTTTTAGATTAACGGTGGGTAAATGACAAAATATGACTGAATGTAGTCACTTCAATTTACTGGATTTCATGTCAAAGTGAAATTGTTTGGGCTTCTATAGGTTTGTCCAGTTAATATCGCGCTCTTTTCATTGAAAATTACTTAAAAGAAAATTTAATTTCATCAAAGAGGGGTCACTCGCCCCTAATGTTGATTTAAATTGGAAATAACACCACTAGATTTCACTTTTAGAGCATTATAATTCATGAAAAAATTCTTATCCGTGCTATGTATAGTCATTTTCGTCTCATCCCGAGAAAAGCGTTAATTTCGAAACGCATTTTTTGTCATTCATAATTTTTACCGATTTAGTCATTTAATTTTGGCAGTGGCATGATTAGAAAAATTATCAAAGACAAGTTTTCAGTCATCTTCAGGTTGTTCTTGTAATTTGTTATCCAATTCATTGCGTTTATCATCCAAATTCAGTCTATTATTTATAGTTAAGTTTGAATCACAACAATAAAATCCAAATAACCGCTATTTCAAACCAGTGTTGTATTTGAAATCCCCTTGATGTCCGAGACCAAGACAGAAACCGAGACCAAGGCATTCGAGACTGAAAAGAAGACCGAGACCAACTCTTTCAATACCGAGACCAACACTTTTTCAGGTTGAGACCGAGACGGAGACCACGAGCGAGACCAAGACCAAACATTAAAACTGTGTATCATTTTATACAAAGGTAAACGAGGACAAGCAACATAAGACGACAAAATTATACTGAACATATATGATAAAGAAATTATTGGTCATTCTATAAATTCATGGTCCAAAACTACGACATGTTTGTGTCCCTGTCACACCAGACATGTAATTTGACATGGAAATATCACCAAAATCGATTTCAAACTATTTCTAATTTTATGGCAGGTAATTGCATTAATTCATCATTCTTGGAAATTAGAGAATGTAATCGGATTTACAAAATCGTATGTCAGATGTGACAGGGATAAGAAAAATTAGACCCTCATTTACAGAATAACCCATATACATGGAACATCATCAAAGACAAATACATCAACTCGAACGATTCTATTTTTCTCATATTGAATCCTATTAAGAAGAGCCAAGTCTAACAAAAAGGCACACATCTATATCTCCCTTGCACAACACGTTTAGGTGTTAATAACACACAGGTCTGTATCCATTTTTTCCTGGAGTCCAGTCCAGTATTGTAAAATTTAACGTATCGTCACGACTCATCAATGGATACTGATGTTTGTGATGTACCACTCTCTAAATTCAAAAGAGTGAAAACTCAATCTTTTCGAGTGAAAATTCACTCCCACAGTCGGAAACTATAGGGACCAGACTTTTAGAATGAAATCTCTTCAATCCAAAAGATCGAGTTTTCACTCAAGCTCCGACTGAAGTGAAATATTTCAGATGAGTTCAATCGAAATCTTAATTTAGCCGTCAACTTTTTAGGTAGTGGTATATAACTACTTCCTACCAACGGTTCACAAAGTACCACGTTGATACAAAATACAACGATTTTGTCAAATTTCCACCAAGAGCTCCTTTTGGTATGAGCGTTGACTTCCCGCATGAGATACTGTTTTTGTTCTTCGTCTCGTTCGGTAAACACTACTGTTTTTCCACCAGTAAACGTAAATATACCAACTTCGGTTTTTGTCGATCCAGTCTTTCTATTTTAAACTGGACTTTGATCGCCGTTTGCAATTTGTGAGCTCCTATCTCTCTAAATTCGGCCAATGATTTCGCTTCGATATACCTCTTGTAAAAATCAAAAAAGTATACTGGGTCGTCTTCAAAGAAACTAGGCTTCAGTTCCCAGTTTCTAAAATTTCCTTGAAATCGTCGGATGTTTGGGATGTCTTCCTCTGCTATCGCTTCCGGTCGGGTGTAATTTTTGATTGCTGTAATGAGATCCTCTCGTAGCACATTACCGTCTGCACCCTTGGCTGTATAGGGTATTTGATTATCTTGTACTATTTGTAAGAGTTGATGATATGTTTTACGCGCAATATTTTTAAATGGGCGCTGGCTCACTTGGATTGCGCGAACGTATTCTGGTTTAGCATGTTGGCAATCCTTGGATAGTGGTAGGGATATATTGTATTGACTGATAAAGTCAGATAAAAATGACTTTTATAGTATCTAAATTTAGAGAGCAGTGGTTGATACTGTGGTTTGGCATCACTATTATTTGTCTTTAGTAAATGGCCTACAGTCCTGGCATTTATATTTATATAATCTATGTTTACGCGTCCGTCCATTTTTCATGACGAGTTAAACAATACAATCAACTGTTATTAGTTGTTTGATTGTATTTTAATTTAAACTCCGATACCGGTTTTTCTTTGCGAAAATGGTTGCACTTTTTAGTTTACATGTTCAAATATATTTTTAATACATAACTTTTTGTCAATTTTTTACAATCACCCAAAAGTTTCATTGTAACATTGCTCAGCTATAATGCTCGTAGTCCGTCATAATGTGTTCAACCTATTAAATTTACACAATCAAAGCAATGAACACAATTGACACAATTAAAACGTAATACAAAATCTTTGCATTTCGACGAATTTGTGCATCCTCTGCAGTTAAGATTCATTTTACATTCTTTGCTTGCAATACACATTGGGAGCAACATTCACAAAGATAATTTTTAGAGAGATATTGTTTTGGTTCTGGTTTTGATTCTTGCTTTGGTTTGCGTCTTTGTCTTCGTCATAGTCTTCTGTTTGGCATCTCTGTTTTGATTTTAGTGTTAGGAGATATTTTTCATTTTTTTAAACGATGGGAGCGTGATGATATTTTTCAATTTGTCAAACGCCGAGGGGGGTTGGGTAGGTATTCGGGGAGAAACCGACTACTCTCCTTGTACACTACTTCTGCAAAGTGTTTCCTGCCCCCTTTTCCGCTCTCCTTCAGTTCCCTGCACTTCTTATAACCAAACCACTACCGCCAATTCACATGACGTGGCAGTGCCCTGATGCTTCTCCAAATGTGAACTTTTTCAAGCTGATGATGTTGCAAAAGGCAGCGCATAACTTAACAGCATGTAGCATATGAACGAAAACATGGGGCAAGCCACCTGCTTCGCATGTATGCGTACATTGTACACAAACACGTGTACAAATCGGAGGGATGTGTGCCAGTGAAATAAGCCAGTTCGTAATTACCGCATGCACTCTGCACCTGAAAGTTCATTTGTACATCAAACAAATCGCTTCACCGTACGTCAGGAGCGGGCGCCCTTCTGTGACATTCGTTTGTGTGGTGAATGTTAAGGGTGCGATTCAGCTAAAGCTTCGATCTTCAATTTTTTTTCAATTTTTGGTTAAAATTTTGCCATGGATGGTTGTGAGCAAGATCTTTCAATAGATGAAATTCGTCTGTGGACCCTGGCCCAATTAAAAGAGTTTTAAGGAACAACAACATTTTCAACATGCTGTACTTGGATTAATGAACACTTAATCAACCTTAATTTTATGAAATTAATTACCTGATAATTTAAACTCGTACGTATTTAAAATGTCACTTTTCTTCTATTTCCAATTTCATTATATCTTCGGTACTGCTTTCTGTAAAGATTTCCTAGAGGGAGTTCCATATACCCGAATGTCACTTAACACCCTGTGCAAAACCCTATGAGACTAGTCTGAAAAATATTAAGTGTAGAAAATGCTTCGATTTTCTCCCTCCTAATTTTTTCGAACATTTTTTGCTCTCTAAGGGCTACGGTAATAAGGCCCTGCAGGAGAAAACTAGTGACATTTGTATACAGGAAATCTTACCAATTTCCTTTCCGTAAAGGTTAGGGAAAAATATATTGTAAATTATGTTGGGACACTATCCATTATTATTTTTTAAATGACTGTACAGGATCGAAGGGTATCAGAATGTTTATTCTGTTCTTGGTTCTTCCCTATTTCGTCTTTAGCATCTTCCGTATTTCACAATTTTTTTAAACAATCATCCGTATCAAAAGCATTCCATTCGCGCACAAACAGGATATACATAAAATCAATTTATTTTATGTACAAATGACCCTTGAAAAAGTTCATTTGTGTATGCGAAGTTTGTAATTACAAACGGGCTTATAAATGGCATGCTGCATACGAGTTCCAGTGCTTCCAACCTCGCCTTCGTTGTGTTGAGCAACACTTCCAAAGGCTGTTTCCTGTGTTGGGAATAAAGTAACAACTTGGGATGAGGTTGCTACATACTGCATTAACTAGTCCACATTCAAACATCGATTTCACTATGAAAATTTGAACAATGCGGTGTTGTATTTACATCCATGTTTGGAAACTAGACTCGTTAGCTGGAAAGTGCGTTCATAAGTGAGGTAGCGAGTTGCACATTTTGTTGTCTCGACGGGTCTAGACGGAACCCTCCCGAGACCACCGAGACTTACTTTGATAGGGCGAGACGAAGATCAAGACCGAGACCACAAAAAGGTCACGAGACCATATGCAGCAAGGTATGAGACGGAGAGAAACCCCCCCTGTTTTGTGTTGGTCATTGTCTCGCAGGAATCTGGGGAATTCCTTTCAGACATCCTAGGGGGATGTGTTAAGTAACAATAGTCTGAAATGTGTATAGGGATTGGACATGTTGGGGGGGTACCCCTCGGTCTCATTTCTTGCTGGGTATACACGAGACAGTCTCAAAACCGAGACCAGCTTCCCAGACCAACAGCATTGATTCAAACAATCGTAACGACAAATTCAATGACGAAATTGAATAATTGGATCTTTAAAAGAGAAACAAAGTGCTTTTCCAATTCAACGTCATTTCCAATGTGAGACAAATATGTTGATAAATAGGAGAAATAATAATAGGGTTTTTGTGAACTACATTGCTCTTAAAGTTATATCTAGCGGTGTTGTTTCGAAATTGGAATCAACATTTGGAGGCGAATGACCTCTGTTTAACGAAATAAGCTTTATGTTAACCAATTTCAAATGAAAGAAGTGCGATATTAATCGGGAAAAAACCTCTAGTTACTTTTAAAGCATACGCTGCGTAAAACATAATTGTGTCGTTCTTTGGACACAATAGATCGGACTTAATTATACAGCAGCAGTACATTTATTTCATGTTGGCAGCAAATGATCAATCCCAAGTACATCTACATCAAAATCATACATGCATAGTGAATTCTGTTACAACAATAATAACTGGGTGTATTGGGTTTAATAATTGTACACGGTCAAAATTATTACCAACATATCGGGAAAAAAGAAGCACTGTGCTTTTGGTTTTCCCTATTTACACGAACAATGGTTCAGACTGGACAAGAAACATAAGACAGAAGACATGAGACACACAATATAATACACTGACAGGATAGACTAAAGTTAGGACAGATGTACTTTGAAATCTAGATTAATGAATTCCAATTACGTCTTGTTTTCACAGAGCCAATGATATTGTGGAAGAGGGAGTCTGGCGATGGGCACAGAATGGCCGTAAAGTGACCTATACCAACTGGGGGCCTAATGAACCTAACAATTCCAACAACGAGGACGCAGTCCTCGTTTACAGCAGCAGCAGGAAGTGGAACGACCACAAGGTGGACGGGAACTGGTGCCCCAAACTATGTTTTGTCTGTGAGACTCATTGAGTCGATAGCAGGCCACTTAAACATTCCAACTTGATCACTTCACATTTTATTGCAATTGCTCCACATTCAATACCCTTGGGCACGTGATAACCCGGTGTGAAAGAAATACATTTACCAATTTAGAATTAGTTCATAGAAAGCAATACTCTCACTTGTCTTCTTAGTCTCAGCTCGTTCCGTTCCCCTTGCAGCCGTCTTCCACTCAATTTGATCACTGACGACCCGTGGGGCGTCCCTCCTGCCTCCCATCTCATTCGCATCTTTATTGAATATACTGCAGGCGGAGTATGCATACAATTATTGTTTTCTTCACAAATGTATATACCATTTGTCCACCATCTGATTTGCCATGCAAAGGCATTTCGTGGCTTACGAAAAAACATCAAATACTTAGATATGTATTGTATACAAGGTACTATGTATTATCGAACAGATCCTCCCAGACAGTCTGAAATTTACTAAGACAGCTCTTCGGGACGAGGTGTTACCGAAATAAGAGTCTTTAGGAAAGATTTACAAATCTTACTCCGGTAACATTTCAAGAAGTCACGAGTAAATTGGACTTATTTGTTTTTGAAACTAAGTTGCTAATAACTGCTGAAAAAACGCGTTAACTTTGTTTTAAACAGATGACGTCTGACACGGTGCATGTCAAGCCTTATATTCAAGTTGCATAGATGCCTAGACCAATTAAATTTTGGATGTGGTCAAGTTATTCGGCAATGGAAACGCTTATGTCCACTTAAGCTGTTTTCCCGCATATGCTGGTTGGGTCTACTGTCCATAACTGTAACTGTGGTTGTTTGGTATTTTCCTGTTCGGTTGGCACGTAAATAGTTTACTGTTGACGTCTATAGGGCGCACTTAGATAGAGGTTGTCAGATACACCTTTTACTTTAAATAAATAGGTATTTCATTCATAGTCTCACGCTATTGTTTCTTGTGTAGCAAGCTTCCACTTATGCCTTGGACGTATTCGTCTGGTCATCCATCACTGAGTTTCACTAATAATGATACAACCCTCTTCAAGAGACCCTTGAGAAAAGCGTTGGTAAAACGGCATGGCAGTACCGTTTTTAGGAACGGCATTTTACGGTGTTCAGAAGGTGTTTTGCAAGCTTTGCAAGTCTGCATTTTATTACAATGGGGGCAATTTAGACGTTAAAACTGCCATAAAGACAAGGTACCGTGGAAGGCATGTTTCAACGCTGAAAACGTACCTGCAGGTAGACCTAAAAGTACAAGAGTCGACTCGGCCATAGAGGAACGTCAGAGAAAAACACACTTAACAACAACAAAATTGAACACAGAGACGATTCTTTATACAATGAAAATTATCTTTCAACTTTTGAAACTTGACTATAGAATGAGTTAAAATACACGTTATGTACTCACGGAACAATAAGATGCGTCGTAAAACAAAAAGTACAAACTGAAATTATTTTGACTCAAAAGCAAGGAACACAACACAACTTTAATATAAATAAAGAATGATTATGTAAATTGTGTAATCGATTTCCTCAATATGCTTGACCACAAGCCTGAAACCCTGCATTTTATGGACAAGAACAGAATACGACCATTGCTCATAAATGTCACTTCATGCAAAGTTTGAAAATATGCCAATTAAGGGACAATAAAGATCACGTTTACTCACACTACGGATTGGAGTGTCTCACCTGAACACTTCTTGGGTTTGCTTGTTAAAGGAATGCAGCACAAATCGTTTTTTATTAACAAGGATGGTGTTGGTTGCAACCAATAGATACCCAAGACTACTACAGTCCCTCGCTAGGGTACATTCTCTGCCTGCCTTGGTCGAGTATCTTGTGGTTTTCGTCAACTTGAAGATCAGGTCCAGTTGGCTTCTTTTGAACAACACTCTGAACATCTCCACCTCCATTATGCCCCCATCAATATTCCCCAGTCAATATCCCTATTAGCCCCAAGACCTCTTTGGTCATTCATGGGTTCCTTGGCACACTATTTTACATGCAAGTTCCCTTAGTTTATGAGGCACAATTAAGCAACTTTTAGTGTATAGCGCCCTCACCAGTCGAGATCATGAAAGACCACTCTTGCAATGACACCCGATAGACTAATAGTAATGATATCCAGCAAGGAAAATGTTACTAAAGTTGTTTTGGTAAAAATCAGGGAAAAGAGTTCCGTACACGAAGTTCATTTTACACCCTGTATACAAACCCTATGTTAAGTCACACTGTGAAATGTTTCAAAGCATGGCATTAGACACATTGGTTTCTGGCAATTCTTACAAATCATAGAGTTTGTTTACGTTGGGTCTCGTAATGCAAACAACTCATTTTCGTTTTGGCCTTGCCTGCTTCTTCCGGGGTAATGTCCACTTGAAAGGAGTGCAGTTTCAGGGGCATCTAGTGTTGAGTTGCTGGTCCTGGAGGTGGACAACAGTTCATCGATGACCTGGACCCAGAAATCCAAGCTAGTGGGCGGATGCTTTGTGGGAATGCTGCTGTACACGATGCTAGCATTAACCAAACAGATGTCAAGAACTTCAAAGAAAACGCGTTTCCACCATTTCAGGGATCTATGATGATGCGTGTAGTACTGACACATTTGTGATACTAAGTCACTTCCCCCATGTACTTATTATAATCGTTGACGACGGCAGGTCGTTGGATTGTACGACGTCCGGTGGAACTTGTTTTACAACGAATGTCTTTAGTGTCACTTTTGCAGTCGCCATAATTAGTCAGAACTGTTACGTGTTTTTTGGCGTCCTGACAAAGAACACATAGTTGCCCCGCTTCAGAGAAAAACTGGGGTTCATGGTTCATGGGGACTTTCTTAGGGTTTGCACTATCTGGAATGCCTTGTGTAGTATAGCACACAGCTCCAAACCATAGCTGGGACAACTTGTGCTCATCAGCGGGGCTAGTGTATTAATTGTCCATGAAAACAACATGTCCCTTGTTTTCCAGTCCTTTCAGAAGGTCGACGACAACTTGGCCTGATGCTGCAAGGTTGGGTGAATGGTTGGCTTCAGCGTACGCAACAGAGTGCGAGATGATTTGGCCTGACGGAGCATTGGATCCAGTAAACAATTTCCATTCAAATGTGTAACCGGTTTGATACTCGTTCAAGGAAAAACATTTCAAACCATATTTGGCCGACTTGAGTGGTATATACTGTTTAAAACAGAGTCGACCATTAACCTTTATCATAGTCTCATCCGGTGAGACGTTTCGTCCGGGCTTATAGATGCTACGAAACAACGGAACTACAATGTCCAGTAGCGGACGAACTTAAAAGACACTTTGTCACGGGGAGAGTCGTCTGCTGTGTTGTCCGCAAGGTGGAGAAATCGAATAAGTGCCATAAATCGGTAGTGAAACATTGTCAACGGATACAACGGACTTCGAAGAACTTCGCACCTGGACCAGTACATTGCGTAGCTAGGCCTTTTGTTGATGCCCATTGAGAGCAGCCATCATTTCAGGAACATCCGTTGGAATCCAAGTATACTGAGAGTTAGTGGATTCTGCAGATAGCGTCTGATCTGCATATCGGTTGGTCTCTCTCACCAGCAACTGCCAAACTGCTTCACCGAAGTAGAGTTGAAGTATCTGTAGGGGTGACAGATGACTGAAATTGTGGCTACACCCAGTCGGTTCCGTGAAGTTCACAGGTAGTGGCTTTTGGTAAATGGAGGTTGCTTGCCATCCAGTCCTGCATTATTGAAGAATAATATTAGGACTAATAAGAACAATATTTACGTATATTAACAATATTTATTTATAAGTGTTATAATACACCAAATATCAAAGCACTGTTCATGAAAAAAATAGGAGTTAGGTAGGTAGGTCTTATTCAGCTGTTCATTGAAGTGGTGACAGATGGGGCTTCCCTGATTTGGGTTGGACTGAAATGCCTATTCACACACACTGCCTGTAAAGTAAATCTTGATTCACTGTACGTTTGGTTATATGCACTCACACTCTTTAAGTGGCATTCTGCCATCGAACGCAGGTTCTGTTTTCAATACCATATGCCCGTTAATTGAGCGTGATCTTTTAGCATGTTTAATTTCTGCTGAGAAACCATTCCAAGTTACTCTGCATTAGGACGGCACAGTACACGTCAAAGAATAAAGATAGGAATCCTTCCTTTTCATTGATTAGCAATTGGGATTTGTGACACATTCGGGACATCGGGAAAATATGGCAAGCCTGCTAGTGGTTATAAAATGCAATTTATTGTAATGATACTGTATGAATGACTGAGACTAGAGTGTCTCGTTGCAAGGCTTTACATGCCTTGGGCCTACCTGAAGTTCGGCTGGGGGGGTGCCCGGTGGCTTCCATGTGGTGAATGATGTGGTTGCCACTAATTCATCATCACTTTCTTCTGATGAGGACGAGGAGGAAGTTTCATCCGAGGATATTTCGGAGCCAATATCTGCTAAAATTTCGTCGACGATGTCCGAAGCCGCGACCATTTCGCCCTTGGCTTGTGATTTTTGTAAGGACGCGCCAAGCGCGTCTCCATGCCATCTCGTCCAGTCAGAGCGCTCGAGACGATGTCAAACGTGTCAAACGGGAGAAAGGTTTGGTCTGTATGCCAAAGAGGAACGTTGGTAACAAAGTGACACTGAAATCTTGGGACACAAAGGCTCGTTGGTAAGGTACCCGTATGCCACTTTGAGCCCAGCTGGCACTTCTGGGGCTGAAATGGATATTGCACTCTGCCGAGGACAGACATTCTACGCCCTTCATACCAAACTAGTAATACCAGGAAAACTAAATCCATGGAGGCCTTCACCGTTGCAGTCAGACAATTCCCAAACATTGTTGAATGCATTTTGTATGCAAGTGCCCACACAATAAGAGGTTTTTTGAAAAAGCCATCATATGTACCTGCACGTGCACTAAAAACAGCATTGGTGCGCAATATGTGGCAAATTGAACTCTCCTCTATTGTGTCTTCTTTTGTGTTGACCGCATCTTTGGAATTCCTTTCAGATTTCGGGGGTGCTGGGGGGTGCAGTAGGCACAATACATTAGTATACAAGGCAAGATATGGGACGGAGGGGTACCCGCCTTACCTGTCCAATCCCTATACACACTCTAAACTATTGTTACCTAACACACCCCCCTAGAAATCTGCAAAGAATTCCTGAGATTCCGATCAAACAATGACCAACACAAACGCGGGGGGAGGCTCTCTCCGTCCCATATCTTGCCTCAAATGCACATTAGGCGGGGTCCCTTTGCCACAAATTGTGCTGGATATAAAAAACAGACGCCTACACAAGTCACTGCTTCAAACATTAAAATAAATTGCAGGGGAATGCTGACTTATCCTTGCAGCTTGTTGAGTCCAGGGCGATTAAGATAATTAATTGGTATTACTTTGTTCACAACGCCTTTTCTCTTACTTAAAAATGCCCTGTGAAAATCAAGTTCATGACAACAGTAACATTATTTCAAACTTGGATTCAAGTGATTCAAACTTGCAGCGTTCCTTATATTTTCAATAAATAAAATCAAAATAGCATTCTTTTCTTTTATTTTTTCCAAGTTAACATTCATTTCAATTGAGGGCATAGGGAAACAAGGTAGGACCGTTCGGTATTCCAACAGCCCATGCCCTAGACTTGAATCAGGTCGGACTTACGTCGCTCTTCCCCAGTCAGCCATCCCTTCACATACACAGTACATGGTGGTCGAGTTCGGCCACTCGCATAACGTGTTATAGGCGGCTTTTTTGATAGCTTTTCTGCAATATCCGGTGTGGCGGTCTCAGCTGTCTCCCGGTCTCAGCGGTCCCCCTACCAAATATGGTAAAATACGTCATGCCAGCTCTGCGCACAACAATGGGAAAGTCGTCCGACAATGGGAAAGTCGTCCGTTTAATGTCTGGCTATTCAGGGGGACCGCTGAGACCGGGAGACAACTGAGATCGCCACACCGGCGTCAACATCAAAGACTGTACAACATCACCAGTAAGTGAGTCCGTCTTCTCTGATAAGCCAAGCTGACCCCTCCGTCGATGATATGTATATGAACAACATGACCTTGCATAATATGTACGGAATTTCCACCAATCAAAGAAGTCAGACTTGTAGACTCGTTCATTATAATAGAGGTATAAAGGATGCAAAAATAAGGCCGGCAATTCGATTGGCTGCTGATTGTTTTTGCAGATGAGCTGATTCGCCTGTGTACAAACGGCTGGCAGATTCGTCAAGCCGGGATTTCTGAACTCACAGTACATATAATAAGAGGACACAAGAGGGCGCGAAGCATGCGTGTTATAAACGCAGACAACGTCACGGAAGATCCCGACTTGAGTCAAGTCTACGCATGCCCCCAAATGAAGCTAGTCTGAAGTCATTCGGACGTGCTCAGAAAAGCCTGTATAGGGTGGTGACCACGGGGAAACCCCCCCCCAGATTTTTTAATCGAGACAGCTGGTGTCCGGAAAGTGGGTATTATATAGGTAGTAAGTCTAAATTGATTAAACATGTCATAAAA